ACTCTGAATGCAATGAAGGAGAAAAATTTAGTGAGAAAACAGGAAGATAGGAAACGACAACATGAAAATTAATCATCACCTTTCATCTCTGTGTCTGAGTATTTTCATGTTTCCATTTGAGACACTTCTAAGATGTAGATATTATCTATTTCTGGAGAAGTAATAGAGGTTAAATAATTCAATGTAAACCAGGTTGTAGAAATGGAGACAAAAGAGTTAACAATTACAAATATATTTTGAAGGAAAATCAGCAATCATTGGGTCACAAGAAAAGGCAAGAAAAAAAAATCCAGGGTAATTTCTAGGTGTTCACATGTTTGTGAACACGTGCACTGGTTGGCACATCATCAGGGTTCAGTACAAGATTGATCCTTCAAGAAAGTCATCTAAGATTGTTTCTACTTAAAATCAAACAAGCATGTAATTGTGCCTTTGTGCATGCAGACTCGAACCTCTGAAGGCTAGCTTTTTAATTATCGGAAGCTACAGTGCTTGTTCAGTGAACGGTCACAGTTCAGATAATTAAGACAGGTGGAGGGCCAAGATGTGGCTCAAGAATTTGAGCACATGCCTTGGATCTGTGAGCCCTGGTTTAAGCCCACCACAGCTTACCCTCAGCACACTGGTACAGACTTGCTGTGACTCTTGGTGAGCAAGGAAGCTCCTCAGAATAAAAATGTGGGAGGTGAGAGTGACCTCATGTCCCATAAGTCACTCTGGGCAAGAGCGAGGAGCCTTCTTGAAGCTTCTGCCTCTTTACATTTGGGTGACTTCAGCTCAAGTCACTTCAGTAACTTATTATTCCTTTTCATACTTTAGGGACACCAGGCTACTGTTTGGCCTGCCTTTCACAGGGCAGGGATGTCAGGAGCTGTGGAGTGACACAGGACTTTTATCTTCCTTCCTGCTTTCAAATATTCTGCCTTTTAAAAAAGTTTACGTATAGATGGGTTGGAGCGATAGCACAGTGGATAGGGCATTTGCCCTGCACGTGGCCAACCTGGGTTTGCTTTCTCCATTCCTCTTGGAGAGCCGGGCAAGCTACTGAAAGTATCCCGCCCACACGGCAAAGCCTTGCAAGCTCCCCATGGCATATCTGATATGCCAAAACCAGTAACAACAAGTCTCACAATGGAGACATTACCGGTGCCCGCTTGAGCAAATCAATGAACAATTGGATGACAGTGCTACAGTGCTACATATAGATGACAGTTATTAAGCACGATCCATATTCATAGGCTATGCCTCATATTTATGTCTATTCTTTTATTCAAAAAGTTCCAACTACAATTTCTGGGAACTAGGTAAGTGGTTGGTGAACTATCTGCCCACAGAGTCAGGTTAAGTAATTCAGAATGTTGTCAGTGGTCAAATCACTGGGGCTCACCTCTTCAGCTGGGCCCTCGAACACAGCCTCTCAACACCTATCCCAAGCTGCCCTCCTGAAGATAGATCTACAAAGGGACTTTAGGACAAAAGAGATCAAAGTTGAAGAGACTCAGGACATGTTCCCCAAACTCAGTCTGGACTTCATCCAGGCAGGTATTCTTGAGTGCCTGCCTTAGGATTCATTTTCTGTCTGCAGAAAGATCTATGTGAGTGAGATAGACCAGCATGGAACTGAAACATTAAAGCCTTCTTCAGCACGTTGCTCTGAAATTTGTGTTACTTAAACCACATTCAAGGCAGGGCAAACCCCTTAGCTCCTGTTCTTTCTCCAGTCCTAGACATTTAAGTGTGAGTCACTAGTGGTATGTGTCAGTGCATTGTGTTAAAAGCAATCAATTTATAAGCCAGAAAAGTTGTGATTTAGATAGCAGATAATCAAAAGTTGCAGATTCAGAGCCTATTTTTGTGTGCCAATATATTCAAAGAGTTGAAGGAAAGCTAAAATTGTATATCACCCCACACAGAGTACTACTCATGTACTTAGACATTTTATTTTCATGACCTCATGACCATCGTTGAAGAGCAGTTTCTGTATTTCCATTTTGTAGATGAGAAACCAAAGAGACAAGCTAAATGAGAGACTCATCCTATATCCCAAGATAATCCAGAGCTTATCAAGGATGCCTATTTATAGAGATACTCAGCCATCTATCCTGTCTCAATATTTCTAACATAGGGATCTAGGAGATCTCTACTAGACTCTGAAATTCATGAAGGCAGAAATCATCTGCCTCTCACAACTTTATTTCCATGAAACTAGTTGCATGAGCAGTAACGGTCTGATTAGCAGATTGATTGGGAGAATAGACAGTCCTATTATCTTTAACTCTATGTAAAATTTAAGCTCCTTGACCTCCACTCATAATAAGCCTGGATTTCACTATTTTCATTTATCTGGGTTCTCAGTGAGACCTGGAAGTTCAGAGTCAAAGAGCAATAGATTAGGAAGACCTAGTTTTCAGACCTAACTCTACTACTTTCTTAATAACCACAAGGCTGTCTGGGAAAATACCCTCAAGCCTGAGGTCTCTCATCTGTAAAATGCCTCTTAGTACTCCTGAGAGAATTCAGTGGAGTTCTGTAGATAACATTTACACGAATTTATTTTACTCGGAGCCACAGAGAACTGGTGAATTAGTAAATGAGAATCTCTGAGCATCTCTGCTTTTGCATTTTCCAACAGATGTGACCTCTCATTATGGTTTTGCTTATTAGGGTGTTCTAGCCTCAGGGAATCTTCTTTTACTCGCTACTGCAGTGACCTTGTTTTTGAGGACTTGCAGTGCAGTGGAGCTGTTCATACTGTGACTTTTAGTGGCATCTCTCCTTTGTGAGTTGTCCCTTTCTCCTAGAGCGTGGTGGTTCAGACCCCCAGGTTTAGAGTCAAATACTAGGCTTCTAGTCTCTGCCTGCCATAGATTACTTTGTAAGTCACCTTACATTTTCTTACCTGTAAGAAAGAAGCCTCCATTTTCTTACATGAAAAGAATGATGGTGTCTATTGCAGAGGGTCGAGGAGGATCAAATGAATTGGTATGTCAAAGTAGAAGAGTGCCTGGCCCATAATAAGTACTCGGTGATTATTGTTTTCATTTCTCTTTGGAGAAGGGGAGGTGTTGGGCCACATCCAGCAATACTCAAGTATTAATCTTAGCTCTGAATTCAGGAATCACTCCTGGGGGAGCTTGGGAAACCACATAGCATGTTAGGGACCAAACCTGGTAGGCCACATGCAACGCAAGTGCCCTACCCACTGTGCCCCTACATTTCTTTATGAATGACATCAATAGCTTAGCTACAGAGCTTCAATCTTAACAACATTATTCCAAAACTGAGGCCAGAGGAGGTTGTGTAAAGTTTTGCAGCACTTTAAGAATGTTTACTTATTTTTTCTATTAGTGTTCTCCAAAGAGACAGAACGATCAATAGGAAATACATGTCTTTATATTTATGATTATATGTAGCACTGTCACACTGTCCTCCCATTGTTCATCGATTTGCTCAAGCAGGCACCAGTAACGTTTAAAAATTCATTGATTTTTTAAAAATATATCTGTACATATATACATGTAAATATCAGGTGCTTAATGGCTCAGTGACTCAAGTGGCCAAGAACAAACACCTTGTATTGTAATTCTTACAAAAGCAATAGATTCAGTAGATTATGAAACATGTGGTAGTGGGATTCAATTTACACATATGTGTTATACACATGTATATATACACATAAAGATATAGTCACATATAAATATACATATGTTCAAACATATCTCAGTGTATCTTCTGTAAAAATGTGGGAACTAGGAGAATATCAGGTGTAAGATATGTGGTTTCATACAAGTAGAATTAGTGGAAGTAGAAATGAAAGTAATAGAAGTTAACACTTTAGACCAAGTGCTGCACTAAGTACAGCACAATCTATATCATCTCATGCTCATTAAGAAAAAAAAAGATTTTGCTACAATTCCATCCAAGATCAAAGCCAAATCTGAGCTTCAGTCCACCATCATTATTTGCAAAATATATGTCTTATAACCATTCTGTTAAACTGCCTTATTGGTTGCTCATTTTTTAAGAATAGTAGATAATGTGTAGAAGTCAGGAATGAAATAGCTTGTTTTTTTTTTTTTTGGTTTGGGGGCTACACCCAGCAGTGCTAAGGGCTCCTAGCTCTGTGCTCAGGGCCAGTTCCTAGTAGTTCTTGGCAAACCTTACGGGATTCCATAGGGTTCTTAACCCAAATAAACCATGTTCATGGCAAGTGCTCTACCTACTATACTATCACTCCAGCCCTAAAATAGATTTTGAGAAAAAGCAATCCCTTGAATTTGATCATAATTTTTTTTTTTTGGTGAACTGGGCATGAATGCATTTTAGATCTGTATTTGGGAGCATGGATGTTTTTTTGAAAGTCTAATGACCAATCATTTAATTCAAGGTTAGTATTTCTTAGGGTGAAGACCTGTGAGGGCAGTTGTCTTCACAAGAAGACTTCTTTATTGGACAAATGATCACTTGACTTCCCATTAATCATCAATTTGCTTGAGCAGGTGCCAGTAATGTCTCCATTTGTCCCTGTCGAGTGCTAGTGTAGCCCAATGGCATCTGTCCGCTCTAGGAACACGAAGAGCCTCAAACCGATTGTTCATGATCTTGATGAAGAAGTCTGACCATCTGGTAGGTGGGCGGCCATGCGGTCTTTTGACATCCCGTGGAATCCAGTCGGTAACAGCTCTAGTCCAGCGGTCGTCTTTAAATCTCATTACGTAACCAGCCCATCTGATTTTTGACACCTTGGCAAACGAGACAGCGTCCCTGATTCTTGATCATCGACGGAGGTCGGAACTCCGGATTCTTTCTCTCATTTGAGTGAAACGTGATATTCCAAGCATAGCTCTTTCAATTCCTCTTTGGGAGAACCGAATAGCATTCTCGTCCTGTTTGCATAGGGCCCAGGTCTCTGAGGCATATGTATGTTAATGCAGAAAGAACAGTTGGACAAATGAATTAGCCTAATTTGGGACTTTGGACAATCAAGCAATCAGATGTAGCCCTTTGTCACCTGGAGAATGTTGCATCATAAGTTCATTGTTGCTCATTGTTGAAATGTATGGCAGATAGAAATAAGCCTATAGAAATAAGCAGAAGTTGGATTTTCAGTATAGGTTCACACAAGGCCTGGAGCACAGCAGGTAGGGTGTTTGCCTTGCACATTGCCGACCCGGGTTCGATTCCTCCATCCCTCTCAGAGAGCCTGGCAAGCTACTGAGTATCCCGCCTGCATGACAGAGCCTGGCAAGCTCCTCATAGCGTATTTGATATGCCAAAAACAGTAACAAGTCTCACAATGGAGATGTTATAGGTGCCTGCTCAAGCAAATCGATGAACAATGAGAGGACAGTGGTACGGTGCTACAGGTTCACACAAACCCTGCCCCCGACCTCTGCACCCAATGAAATAACTACAGAAATGGGTCTGAAAGTTTTTGCTGATTGTCTCAATTTTCCTTATTTTAAGAACTTTAGGTTTTCCAGAACTAACTTTCTGTGTCTTTCTTTGGAATTCTTATTCCATAGGATACATATCCCATATCCATACAGAGTACAAGAAAGGAAATATACCCGCCTGGCATTTCCCACATGTTACCTCAGTTGTTCCCACATTAGGCCATCACATTAAGCTTTTGAAGGAATGAAAGCTCTAAGAAACTGAATAACCACCGAAGATTACTCACCCAGTGAGAAGTGGCTCTAACGAATCTGAGTGCAGTGTAGTTCACATGGAAAACCTGCCACAAGCAGGAACAAAGGCTGTCATGGATAATTTCACTCTCTGAGCCAATAGAGACCTGAAGTGCTCTGTCAGAGTGCATGGTCGAAACACACAGATTAGAAAATTATCTTCCAAGGAATGCTTGAACACAAGAGTTGGTGTGACAAGTGGAAACAAGCATCAGGGGAGATTATGAGCCTACAATTCAGCTAGAAAGACTCTTCGCATTTAAAATTCCAAAGTTCCAAAACAAAATTGAAAATATCTGCTTTTGGAAATCATTTTTAACACTGTAATATGCTTATTTATGTTTGATTTGGGGACCACACCTGGTGGTGCTTGGAGCTTACTCCTGGCTCTACACTCTGGGTTTACTCCTGGCAGTGCTCAGGAGACCTTATGGGGTGCTGAGGATCAAGCCTGGGTCAGCCATGTGCAAGGCAAGTACCTTACCCACTCTGCTTTCTCTCTGACCCAACACCAAAACAGGTATTATTTCTTCTTGAACATAGATAATGTGGAAAATCTCATCAAGATATTTCTCTCTCCTCTCTCTCTCTTTTTTTTTTTTGGTGGGGGGGAGCAAGGAGCAGTATACCTAAACGTGCCCAGGGCTCACTCCTAGCTCTGTGCTCAAGGAAAACCCCTGGCAGAACTATATGGGGTGCCAAGGATCAAAGACAGATTGGCTACATGCAAGGCCAGGCATGTGCAACCCACAGAAATCGAACCCAGGTCATTCACATGCAACCCACTCAAATTAGTACTTATCACTCTGACCCCAGAAAAATTCATGTCTTATGATATAATATTTACATTTTTAGAAGTTTTCTATAAGAAAAAAAATTAAATAGAGATTTTGGGACTGGAGAAATTGTAAAATGGGTTGGGCATTTTCCTTGCAAATGACTGACCTGGGTTCAATCTCTATCACTTCATATAGTCCCCCAAGGTCCACCAGGAGTGATTCCTGGGCTCAAAACAAAAACAGAAGTAGAAATTTGGTGCTATCAAAAAGAATAAGAGGAATATTTCAAAATGCACATCTCTAAATTTTTTGGTAAAAATTTAAATTTTTGTCCCCCAGTAACTAATATACACTTTTGTGGCATGCCTTTGTGCAGAGAAAAATTATTTTATTCACTACCCATAATAAATCTTCAAAGTAGGTTTATCATTACTATTTTATAGAGCAAAAACCTCAGAGGACACTTAGGATTAAGATTTTTACCCAATACTTTGAAACTGGAGAGTAGAAGAGAAAGGGATTCCAATTAAAATCTGTCTGACTGCAAACTACAATTCTATAACGCTATCCTGCTTCCTCATAATGGCTACATCCCTTAGACAGACAAGAGTTAGATATTTTAATAAATGTGGGAACAAAGAAACTGAGACTCAGATATATTTAAATCAACTATTTCTTCCCTGCAACCAAATTCTCTGTATTGACCCATCCTATATTAAATAAAGGTAAATCTCTGATCTGGTTTTAATGGGCCAGGAAAAGAATAAAAAATATTTCCAGGTAGCAAAAAAAGGGAGTCGTGGATAACGCTACAATATCTTTTTTCCCTTTTAACATTAATTCTGGATCTGCTTCTGTAAAGACAATTGATCTGAAAGATATCTTTTTCCAGCATTCAGTTGAAATTCTTTCTGATCATCTAAGGTCAGATATTTATTCTTTTCTGACAAAAATGGTCCACAAAATTGATTAGACTTCTTCCTTCAATTTTCCCACAAATTGTTTCTTATTAATAAGGTTAATTTACCATAGACCTGATGAGGTTGTTATGCTGCTGGAGCATGAGCTACGTAGCCAAGTCTATAATTTAAGGGAGTTTCATTCAATCACTTCAGGGCAGGAAGAAAAACTAGCAAGGGGAGCAATTATTGATGCATCAGAGTTTACCATTTTTTTCTTCTCAGCAAATTGAACTATATGTCCTTAAAAGTATGTGTGTAAAAAAAAAGCTCTCAAAATATCCAGGATAATCAGAGAAGAGAAAACCATCAAGTGGGGCATGCTTATCCCATGATCAATGTTTGGGTGGCAAGAGAATGCCACCCTTTTCATTGTAATAATCACTAGAGGAATACACCTATCTTCTATACTATTTAATTAAGATTGTAATTCCGTCTGATTCTTCTGAAATTGATTTATATTTACCAACAGTTTTATAAGCTTCTTTGATGATTTTTACTCCTATATTCTACTTTATTACTTGTTTAATTTCAAATTTGTCAATAGCTTGGATGTGTTTCAGCAAACGTCTCTAAGCAGTAAAGGTGTGTACTTGTATGTACTGTGTTCTGTTTTTGTTTTTGTTTTGGATTTTGAGCCACCTTGATTTCAAAGGGATAAGGGATTTCTCCTGGCTCTGCACTCAGGAATCACTCCTGGCTAGAATCAGGAGGCTTTATGGGGTTCCAGGGATTGAACCCAGGTTAGCCATGTGCAAGGCAAATGCCTTACCCTCTGAACCCCAATTTCTGATACCCACTCTGGCCCCAATTTCTGATTTCTTATAGATGATTTGGGGGGGGGGGGAGAGAAGGTAAGGGCCAGATGGGCCACACCCAGAGGTGCTCAGGGTTTATTCTGGCACTGTACTTAGGAATTACTCCTGGTGGTACTCAGGGGACCATAGGAGATACCAGAAATTGAACCGTGGTTGGCTGTATACATGCAAAGCAAATCTCTGGCCCTGGATTTCTTATAGGTACTTCTTTTAACTCCATGTCATTAGTTAGAAAGAGGTCTTTCAATCTCATACCTCTAGAGTATGCAAATATATTTTAGGAATATTAGTGATGACATGGCTGGAGCGATAGCACAGCGGTAGGGCGTTTGCCTTGCATGCAGCCAACATGGCTGACCCGAGTTCGATTCCTCCGCCCCTCTCGGAGAGCCCGGCAAGCTACAGAGAGTATTCGATATGCCAGACACAGTAACAACAAAGTCTCCAATGGAGACATTACTGGGCCCGCTCGAGCAAATCGACGATCAACGGGAGGGCCTTTACCTTTTTACCTTTATGATGTTTAAAGCTCTGAACTTTCAGGACTGGAGCTATAGTACAGCAAGTTAGACATTTTCATTGCACGAGGTCCACCAGGTTTGATGCCTGGCATCCCATATGGTCCCTAGAGCACTGCCTGGAATAATTCCCTAGTGCAGAGCCACTAATGAGACCTGAGCATTGCTGAGTGTGGCCTAAAAACAAACAAACAAACAACAACAACAATAACAACAAAACAAACAAAAAACTCTGAACTTCATACTGAGAGCTCATTCCAGCCTCCCATTTGAATGAGGCACAAATCAACTTCTGCCTCAGATGTTAAATCCCAGTCACTTGTGATCAGATAAAATACCTTCCTTTATCTGACCCCAAATGTCCTTTTAGGCCAGTAAATGCAGTTCTCAGATCGTTTTTGTCTTGTTTTGTTTGGGGGCCACACCCAGCAATACTCAGGGGCTACTCCTTACTCTGTACTCAGGAATTACTTCTGACAGTGCTCGGGGGACCCTAAGGGAAGTTGGGGATTGAACCTGGGTTGGGTGTGTACCAGGCAAGTGCCTTACCCACTGTAACAACTCTCCATCCCCTCAGTTCTCACATCTTTGACTTTGAGTTTCCTTTCCATTTTTACCTTATTGATTTCCAGAAAGATTTTCCCTTATTAATCCACAGGTTAGCTCTATGTTACTTTTATGCAAATTCTTTACAATATTTCCTGAAGACCCCACCCCTCCAGGACCCTTACCTATTCTAAACAGGGATAGTGTATCTATCTTCTCTTCTTAAGTTACCATGTTGATAACTTAAATAATTCCCCTAACGAGGTAAGAAGAAATAACAAGAAGTTTTAAAATGTTTAAAGAGATACTTTATTTTCAGTAACTTTTTCCCTCTCCATACTTTTCAGTGCTGAATGTGAAGAACCACATAATTATGAGGCAACAATTTCATATCCGAGACACTCTGGCAACTCCATTAACCTGTGCACTGCAAAAGAAATTACTGATTGTAAGTCTGCTAAGCCAATTAATACTGTATCCCTGTGTGGAATGAAAATGTGTCCAAAAATTGGTTATTATCTCTCGAGTGAACTATAAGTCTAAAAATGTACAGCTATGCTGCTCTGATAGATCATTTCCCCGTGTTCCCCCACCCCCGCCTCTCTGTTCTCTGAAAACTGTAAATTCAGTTGGGCACCAATGCTCTCTCCCATCCCCTAGTTCTGCCTTTTCCCTACGGCTCCTGTTCTCTCCTTTCCCAATCTGCTTAGGTGCTTGACCTTTTGCAGATATGTGGGAGAGGAAATCAAGATAAGACAATTCATTTTTCTTCCTCCTCCTCCTATAGAAATTTCTTCTCTCTTCTTGCAGTGTCTTTCTTGAAGACCCCAGGTAGCTCCCTGTGTGGAGAGGGAGATAACAGACCGTTATCTGTTTGGGTTGGGTGTCTGAGAGTAGCCTTAATAGGAGAGAGTCACTGAATGGATGAGGCCACTCACTCACGCATAAGTCTTTCTGCCACTGTTCTTCACGATGAAGTTCAGACCTTTTGGTGAATAAAAAGAAACGCTGTCAGATAAGAAAATGCAGAAGCAGGGGCTATTCATCACATTTCATCACATTTCTAAAGGTTTCTGTGTCTGTTCTGCCTAGAAGATCAGCCAGTTCTCTCTAAGAGACATAAATATGTTGGAGTAAACACTTGTGTCCTACTGGGCCACAGTTGTGTATCTGATCCTCCATGAATGAGCTCCTGAGAGCATGTCTGTGCTAACCCACTTTCAGAGTCAGGAAACTGAGAATCAGAGAAATAAAGTTGCATAGTATCACTCAGGTTATACAGGGGAGAACTCCAGTGTGGAACAACCTCTGTCTGTCTCTAACATTCTGCCTGCAATGTGCCACTGTTATTGTTATTATTTTCTGCTTCTCATTCAAGGATATTTGACTTCCCCAGAAGGAAGTTTAGAGATAGATCTGTCCCAATTTCTTTACTAAACAGACAAAAAAGCATATTTCTGGGAATTTTCTTAGGAATTTGGTGGTGCTAAAATTTATTATTTTTAATTAGAAGGTAAATAAATATTAAAATTAAAAATTAGAATTCACTCTAATTTTGCCCCTGCTTTCTCGGGAAATAAAGAATTATTAACATTCTAAAACAAACGCTCAGATCCAGAGAGATAGTGCAGTGGGTTGCTTGCTTGGCTTTGACGGTCTTTGCTCCTGTTTGATCCTTGGTACTGCATATGGTCTCCAGAGCCCAACAGAAGTGATCCTGGGTGCAGAGCCAGGAGTTAGCCCTGCACACCACAGGCTGTGGCCCCCAAACAACTCTCAAAATCTCTCGCTTCCAAACGAGACAGTCTTGAATCTCCCCTCTTGACTATTAAAACCCTAGGCATGAGAGGAGCAAATTCTATCCCTCTCACCTGAGCTAAGCTATCTGGTTCCGTAGTTAGATATCTAGTCCATTGTAGCATAAAATGGCTTCTTACATTCTTAAATCACCTGGAATCTTGTTAAAGGTGCTTTCTGGTTCAGTAGCTCTGAACAGCCTGCACAGGCCTGGGAATCTGCCTGTTTCCTGAGTTCCTGGTGCTGCTGCGCTGCAGATACTGTCTGAAGAGAGAGACCCTGCTCCGTGAAGGTAGAATCTGTGCCCTTCCATATAGCTGAGGGTTCTCAGAGCCCAGCTATCGATCAGAGATCAGAGCTGGCACCTTTTGTCTGGCCTCCACAAAAGCCAGACTTCCCTCCTGAATGACCCTTGTAGTCCTGCCCTGAGCTCTTTCTCCTAGGGACAGATGGAGCTGCAGAGAGAGCTGGGCAGGGGAAGTAGCATGTGTGAGGCTTGTACATACTAGGTTGGCCTGGAAGCTGAGGGTTTCCGTGGGCAGCTGAGTCAGGGGTGACTCTTGCCATGTCCAAGCTGGGCCTCTCCTCATGTTTATTATCAAACAATTAGTGTGTGCTTCCTGAACAATGCTGCTAGAGAGGGGCGAGTTATAACTGAAAGAGAAAGCACTTAGAGGGCTGGAGAGATAGTACAGTGGAAGGTAATTTGCCTTACACCCAGCTGACCCAGGTTTGATCCCCAACATTCCATATGGTCCGCCAAGTACCACCTGGAGTTAATTCCTGAGTGCAGATTCAGAAGTAACTTTTGAGTTTAACCGGGTGTAGACCAAAAACACAGAGAGAGAGAGAAAGAGAGAGAGAGAGAGAGAGAGAGAGAGAGAGAGAGAGAGAGAGAAAGCACTTAAACAATGAAGCACTTGTAGTGAGCCAGAAGTCACTCTTGTTCTGGCACCAGCAATCTTAGGTGGAGTGCATGCAAGACAGCTGCATTACTGTCTGTTTCCCAAGTTCTACATACCATCTCCAGCAAACACTGTAACCAAGAGTGTGACCCCCCATATATTGCAACAACAACCAGAGAGAGAGAAGAGAAAGAGAAAGAACTAAGAGAAGGAGTGGGAGAGCCTATGATGTGAATGTGATGAGCAAGGCAAAGGAAGGAAGACAGAAGGGGAAGTGGGGAGTGGTGAGAGCCTTCCTGCCAGAGACAGCATATGTATGGGTCCCAGGAGTAGACCTGGGCTGCAGAAGCTGGTAGACTGCAGCCAAGGATGAAAGAGACCCTGTAGTGTGACTCATTTGTCTCTACTCCTTTCCAAAGGGCTAAGACTGGACCGGGGAGGGACGAGGGGCTCATTGCTGGATCACGTGCCTTGCATGCGTAAGACCTGAGCTCAGTTCCAGGCATCATAAAGCAAAAACCCAAACCCAAACATTAGTCTATGGTTACCTCACAGAAAGAAAGCAATAAGGAGCGCTTTAATCCTCTGTGTATGTTCATTCAATTCTCCCCAGCTCCTTCCATTATCTTCCCAACATCTATTGGTCAAATGATATCAGAAGTTCAGTTTCTTCATCTACAAATGAAATAATATCTTCTTTGTGGCATGGTTCCAGGTGTTTGATAAAATAATACATTTTAATGCAAGTGTAATTTTGCTTCTGGGAAGATGGAGCAAATGTACTTTTCTTTCCATTTGCCCTCTTCAATACAAGCCCCTCCCCCTGGATATTCTACAAATAACAATATAAAAAAGCAGGAAATCCACAAAAAAGGGGGGGGGTAGATACTTCCAGGCCTCGAAGCTTAAGTAAGGGTCAGTTGTGAATTCCTGGATTTTCTCCCTGCCTCCTGCGTTGCACTGAAGAGCTGAAGATGTTATAGGCCAGAAAGACCAACAAGCACAGTCAAAGACTCTTAACCAAAAACTATGCTTTCTTACCAGAAGCCCAGAAAAAGGAAGCTAGAAAGACAGAAAACTTATAGGCAATATCCATAACTACACATGACAGAAAACACAGATGCCAGGGCTGACAGCAAGCCTCCACGTCCAGCCTCACCAGCTACAATGATATATTCCAAGTCCTCCCGGGGCATTGTTGGAGAAGGTTAGATGGGAGCTGAGACTGTCCTCCACCAGGGAACCAATGCTTGACATTCATTCAGTGAAGGCTAGTGAACGGCTTCTTCCCCTCCATTCCCAGCACTTTCTGATTCCCTTCTGGAATGGGATCAGAAGAGAACCAGTGGAGAAACAGCCACCCAGCAATGTTACCACAAGGAGCCAATTGCAAGACCCACCCAGTTAGGGTCTCATAAGTAGAAAACTGGGGAACCAGCACTGTAACATTACCCAGCATTGATGAGGACCCTTTTTTCAGTTGGGTATTAAAAAGGTCAAGACGTGGAGAACCAGCTGGGAGGAGGAAAAGCATGCCTGCCCCCTTCTGTTGCTAAAACACGTGAGCAAAGTGAGAAGGTTTAGATTAGATCCAGAGCCTCATGTAATGCACAGTGCTCAGCCTTCAACTGCAAATCACTCATCACACTAAGTCAGGAAAGTCTCCCTGTGAAGAAGAGGCCATCAATATATGCCAATGGGAAGAGCCATCAATACATCCCAGTGAGAAGTTTGAAGTGTTCAGACAGTCTGTCACATGTTGAAACTTCTGTTAGAAAAATTTCTCTGTGAGCAAAGGAAACAAAGAGAAGGAGAAAAGTCAGAATAAATAGAAAGTCCGCAATGAAACAGAGGAGGTAAAGAAAAAAATTAAAGGAAAGTTTTGAGCTGAAAGGACATTTTTTTTAAATGGTTTATGTTCAAGGAAGAATGGAAGGAACTGTTTACAAACTTGAAACAATAGAAATTCCTCAGTCTGACCATCAAAGAGAAAATATGAGCAGCACTTCCATGACTTACTGGACAGATATGTTTTCCATTGGAGCCATGGAAGGAGAAGGTAGAAGAGGAGATAACAGAAAACCTCAAACAGCGTTGCTGAAACTGTCACAAATTTGGCTAACCACATGAAACAGCAGATTCAAGAAACTGAACAAACTCCAAATGAGATAAACTCAATCTGCGCAAACAATGGTCATCAAACTTCTGAAAATACAAAGCTTGAAGGCAGTAAGAGAAATGACACATGACCTGTAAGTGAAAAGCAATTTGAATGGCAGTGTATTTATCATCAGAGCCCGGGAAAGCCAGAAGGAAGCCATACAACATTTTTCAAGAGTAAAAACAAAAGAACTATCAACTCAGAATCCTATTACCAGTGAAAATATCCTTCAAAGTGAAGGGGAAATCAAGATATTCTCAGATGAAGGAAAACGAAGAAAATGTGTTCACCTCATCCTAAAAGAATGAGGTGATATTTCCTAAACAGCAAGGAAATGAGGAAAGAAACATTAGTTCAGAAGAAAGAACAATGGAAAGAATAAAAGCATGAGTATATGAGATATATACTCTTTTCTTGAGTTTACTAAATTGTGTTTGAAGAAGAAATTTGTATCATCCAGCATTGTTTTAAATGCAAGTAAAGAAAATAAAAAACACAGTTTTAAAGGGAAAATTAAGGCATATAAAAGGAAATGAGTTTTCTACACTGCAAAAAGTTATGTGTGTATATATATATATATATATA